TGCGCTCGGCTTCCCTGTTTTTTAGATGAAACGCACAAATTTGTGTTTTGCCCGGGTTTGCCCTTAGGTGGTTAATAGAATAGTAAGGGATGAGCAGGTCCAGTGCATTCGAAAGGGAGACTTCAACTGCTTCAAAGGTACTCTTCTGGGAGGCAATACACAAATCATCCACGTAGAGGAAACGTCTTGTGTCTGGTTGGGTAGGTTGATCGTTAGTGTAGATGTTGAACAACAGGGGGGCGAGCACACTACCTTGAGGGAGTCCGTTCTTCTGTGTCCTCCATCTACTGCGACTACCATTGAGGTCTACAAAGAATCTGCGACTTGATAGCATATTGCAGATCAGCTGGGTGAGCCTGACATCTGACGTCATCTCATACAGTTTCCTAGTTAGTATGCGGTGGTTGACTGTGTCATAGGCTGCAGATAGATGGTCTGCGGTGACTTGCGGCCTTGGCTGTGACTTGGTGTTGTCATTTCCCAGGATACGGATAGTCTTCCAGGCTTTCCTACTACTATGGGTCATATCGGTTGATTCAATTAGCTCTTGCCACTTCTTCCGTCTTTCTTCTGTGATGGAATTTGCTAGTGTTTCTCCACGCTCGATGGTGTCAACACTAAAGGGGTCGTTGTCAAAATGCGAGATGTATTCATCATATAACACCTTAGAGTCATCTGTCAGGCCTTGGATGGAATTCGTACGGCAACCATGAGGGATGTTGCGACGTGAGGACGACTTGACTGATTCTATAAAGGCGTCATAGTTACTTGGAGTGGCTGGAAGATCCACAATGGCAGAGTCTAGGTCTTCGGCAAAGCCTTCCCAGTTGGCTTTCTTCAGATTGAAACGTCGCCTAAAGGGGACAGTGCGAGGAGAGATGACTGCATTGATCTTGAGACCTATTGGACGATGTTGGGTGTGTGGAATTGGGTCCAGGACAGTCTTCTCGCACTGATTGGCAATGGCATCTGATGCAAAAATCAGGTCTGGATTGTACCCCCTTCTCCATCGGGAACTGTTGAAAGAAGGAGAGAGCTTAGCATCGTGGATGAGAGACCGTTGATTGGATTCTGCCCAGTTCTCAACCAGCTCACCATCTTTGTTACTTTCAGCATAACCCCAGTTGACACTGTCACTGTTAAAGTCTCTCATAACCACGTTGATGCAATCATCGGTGGGATCAGGAGGAATGTCAAAAATGATGGAGAGTGGTTTATATATTGAAGTGACAGAGATTCCCTCTGTGCAGATGGTAATGACTTCAATGTCGTTGTTGTCAGAAATGGATACCTTGTCTACATGCAAACCTCTACGGAGAAAAACTGCACTCCCATACTGGTCATGTGGCCTCTCAGCGATGAGGGTCATACCAGAGATGTGAGGACGGGCACGTGAAGGTCCACGATGTGTCTCTTGGAGGCAGAGGATGTTGCAGTTAGTCTTGATGCATAAGTCCGCCAGGAGATCTTGTTTGGCGCCAGTAAGTCCTTCGATGTTCGATGATATCACAAACAAGGCCGGTCCGGGCAAGGACCCATGCTTATGACCTTGGGCACCGCCGAAAGATCTGAGGTCTTGTTGGGTCATATTAACAATGAATAGAACAACTGTTGTTGATTGCGTTGTGTAGTTGAAGGATTCGCAGGTGCAAAAACACCTGACAGGGACCGCGACGTAAACGCTCCTTCAATGGCCCCCAGGGATTAGGGTGAGGGTTGCATTGAGTGGTTCACCAGCTTGATGCGCATCAGTGGTCTTTGTCAAAATTAATAGGTTTGCTCTCTTGGGGTTGGTACCGCATGCTCCCAAAGTACCCCCCCAGAGAACTCCCTGAGGAACATGGTCGAACGCCTTCTCCAAGTCCACAAAGCATTCCCATGCACCTTTCAATACCCTGCCAAGGGTGTAGAGTTGGTCCACTGTTCCACGCCCGGGACGAAAACCACAATGCTCTTCCTGAATCTGAGACTTGACTTCCCGACAGACCTTCCTTTCCAGCATCTTTGACTAGACCTTACCAGGGACGCTGAGGAGTGTGAGCCCTCTGTCGTCGGAACACACCCTCCAGTCCCCCTTCTTAAAAAGAGGGACCACCACCCCAGTCTGCCAATCCAGACACACTCTCCCCAATAACCACGCAATATTGCAGAGGTGTGTCAACTAGGACAGCCCCACAACATCCAGAGCCTTGAGGAACTTCAGGCAGATCTGCCACTGAGGAGCTTTTTAACCACCTCTTTCACTTCAACACCAGAGATAGGAGGCATGTCGGTGGAGTTGAGGAGGTCGTCTTCGAAGTATTCTGAGTACCGACCTACAACTTCCCGAGTCGAGGTCAGCAGTGCCCCATCGCTACTATGCACAATGTTCATGGTGCACTGATTCCCCCTCCAGAGACATCAAATGGTGGACCAGAATTTCCTCTAAGCCACATATGTCAAAGTGCCGGCCCGCGGGCCAAATCCGGCCCGCCAGAATGTTTTCAGTGGCCCCTGGGATGATATTGATTTATTATTAGAACCGGCCCACGGACCGCAGCAAGCCGAGAGCCCGCAGATCTTTTACACGCACCAATACTACATTTCCCACAATGCAACGGTGACGCGCCAAGCAGTCGGCCGCTTTATTTAAATATTTATTAGTCTAGCAGTC